AAAAAAAAAGGGAAAAGACAGAGTCGTAAAGAGCTCTCTACTCTCTCTCTCCTTGTGACGGAATCCCCATGCTTTCATTTCATAAGACCAACCGCAATTTCTTGAACTCAAAGCCACAATTCATAAATAGAGCATTGTGAGTGTGTCCCCATCGTACTCATTGCAGTTTAGAGAAATACAAACCGACTGAAATGAGTACAAAAGAAGCAACGGATGTGGGGAGTACAAGTAGAAGAAGAGGCAGTGCTCCAAAAGCAGGTTCTGTTTGGGAGAGCAGAATGAAATCTGATCAAGTGAAAGGTGGGATTAAAGTGTTCGATGCCACTCAAGAAAATTCTGATGAAAACAAAATCAGCAGTGGCAGTAGTGCTAATAATACTGAGGTTCAGGATGATGTAAAAGTGATTGTGAAGCCGAAGAGGAGTCCTGTGGGGGTGAGTGGGAAGAGAAAAACTTGGAAATCAGAGAGTTTAGAAGGGAGCCCACTTCAGATTGCAAGGCAAAGATCTGAATTGGGGAAGAATTTGGATGAACAGTGTAAAGAATTGAGTGTTTCTGTTGATGGGAATGGAAATGGGAATGCGAATGGGAATGGGAATGGGATCAAGAAAAGCCCAGCTCAGTTTAAGAAAACAAGATCTGCAGTATTATCGCAAAAGGGGACTGTTGAGCAAACTGGTGATGCAATTGAGAAGAGTTCAAGTCAATTAAGTAAAGTTAAATCAGATTCCAACGAGACATTGACTGAGAGTAAAATTGACGGGAAATCTGAATTGAATGAGGTGAAATCTGAATCCTCTGATGGGAATGGGAATGGAAATGGGAATGTGAAGAATTCACTTCAACTCCAGTTAGTAAATACAGAAAAAGCAGCAGCCAAGAAACTGGATTTAGAGGGCTTTTCTGAGGGAACTAAGAAGAACCCAACTGGAATTGATCAGTCAGGATCTGATCAAGATTGTAAAGAGCTAATTGTCTGTGAAGAAAAGGCGATTACGAGCATTCTCAAAACGCCGTCTGATGACGATTTTGTTGATGGTGAAGAAGGTGAAGAAAAAGAAGAAGAATGGGACGAAGAAGAAATTGATGAGGAGAATGAAAAGAAAAGTCTTGATATTAAGGAAATTACTGTAAAAGAACCAAATCCAAAGAAAGTTGTGATTGAGGAAAAGAAATTTGTTCATAGAAATGAAAGATCAGTGCCAGTTGTGAAGAAACAAGCCCCTCCTGCTGTAAATCACGCCAGAAAAATTCATACCAGTCCAACAAAAACCAAGCCAAGTAACTACATTTTCCTATTAGTATTACCATTTTTAGATAGTTCTTGTTTATCTCATGTTCTAATCCTTCTTCTGTATTTGCAATTTTTTTGCTTATTAGGTCAAGTTGAAGATGATTTTCAAAGAACTCCAAGATCCCATAGCAAATTAGAAAGTTTTGGTAAGTTGAATTCATTCTCTGTTCTGAATTCTCTTCTTCTTCTTCTTCTTTAGTAACTACTTTCTATATTGTTAAACACTTTGCAGTTGACTTGGTTATGTGGAGAGATGTATCAAAATCAGCATTTATCTTCGGGATTGGAACATTCGTTATTATTTCATCTTCATACACAAGGGATCTCAACATCAGGTTTGGTTTTCATAGATACAAATTAATTTAATTGAAATTTTAATTAAATTAGGTGTATGTATCTGTCTCTTAAAATAGTGACTAAATTTTTGTTTAATCATGGATTAACTTACAGCTTTATTTCTGTGGTCTCCTACTTGGGCCTTGTGTACCTTGCTTCAATCTTTCTTTTCAGATCCCTAATCAGAAGGTAAATTCTTAAATAATAATGCTATTCATAATAATAAGCACTACGGACAGTCGTCCTATGCAACATACATGTGATACATTGTTATTTAATGTATGAGGCAATTAAAAATTATCATATTAAATGCATCAAATAACAAATCGCCACGTATATGTCACTTAGAACAACTATCAGTATTTCTCACTATGTGCTCTTGGCTCCACATCATTTGTTCTGTTCCATTCGAACCCTTCGTTTTTTTGCCAGTTCTCCGCATATGCAGCAGGTTCGATGGTTTGCATTCTTAAACTCAAATTTGTTCATAATTAGTGATTGAAAATATAGTCTACGTTTGACTAATTGCATGTTATTGGAAACAAGTAGGGGAGAAATTGACAGAAGCCAAGATTATGTAGTTGGGGAAGAAGAAGCAATTTGGGTTTTAAAATTGGTTCTTCCTTACATAAATGAGTTCCTCTTGAAATTAAGAGCCCTTTTTTCTGGGGATCCTTCAACTACAATGAAGGTGAGATTTTCATTTCTATATGTTTTCCAATTTTTATATAATTTTTCCTCTTTTATAATTTGTGTTTTGACCTTTTGTGGTAGTTGGCGGTGCTTCTGTTTGTGCTGGCAAGGTGTGGCAGCTCTATAACCATTTGGAAGATGGCTAAATTGGGTCAGATTTCCATCCCGACAAAATTATAGGAGTGCGTGTCAATAAATTTTTAATTATTTTCTTTTTCTTTAAAATATTACAGGGTTTTTTGGAGTATTTATCGTGCCAAAAGTCTGTTCATCCTACTCTACACAGTTAACTGCATTTGGTAAGTCCTTGTTTAATTTTGATTATTTTAAAATTAATTTTATTTCCTTAATTTTATACGTAAATTTATAATTTTTTCTACTTCTCGAAAAATCAACAAAAGGGATTTTCAAATCTCCAACGGTGTTATGCCATTTGTACATTACGGACATCATAATGTACACTTAGCATTATCCTAACTTATGTCACATCACTCTAAATTTCATGCCAATTATTTGTTGACAGGTAGTTTCCACCGCCCAAAAAATTGCGTTTAAAAATTATTTTGTAGTATGATATTGTGGGGGTTATGATATAATACCGTTGGAACATCAAACTTTATTGTGTACTTGTGTGGTCCATTTGGTCACCAATTTAATAGTGTACACATGTGACTTGTGAATTACCTAACGCCGTCCAAACTTAATTTTTTTGAATTATTTTTCGCTTTTAATTACACCTTGAAAATTAGTAATTTTTTACGAGGATTTACTTTTCTACGAGGAACGTAAACATTTAGCTTCTGTTTGGTGGAGATTAAAATCAAAATTTTAATAAATTTTGATAGAATTTGATGAAGGTGTGGTTAAAAGGTTGTGGGATTCATAAAATATATGATTAAAATTAATTATTGACTTTAACTTAAATTAAAATCTAAATTTTAATATGTATCAAACATGGGCTAACATTGGTTGCGAAATGTTATGATACCTTTCATTATTTTTAACGTATAAATGCAATGTATATACGAAGGTACATTTTGGATTCGAAGATTTCGGGATGCTTGGGAATCATGTTCTCATAAGAAAGCCGTAGGATTTGCCATCTTCACTCTTGTTTGGAACCTATCATCAATGGTTGCTCGAATTTGGGCAGGTAAGTAACAACTAACTTTTCTAATTAAATACTGTTACTATACGTAGATCGCATTTTGTCTTTGTGTCTATTTTGTATATATGTATGAATAAGTGTAATATTTAGGGTTGTCTCTAATGTACAATGAAAAATACGCTATCGATGCAGTGTTCATGTTGTTTGTGGCCTTCAAATACTATCAGCATTCTTTGATGAGTAACGAATGGACAGAAGAAGTGAGAAATGAAGATTCTTGGCAAGGACAACGACAAGGGCGCAGAACAACGTTAACAGATAATAGGAAGCAAAAGAAAACATTCTAAGTTGCTATAATATTTGTTGTATTACAAGGTTTACAAGCATATGTAAATTTATATTGAAAATAATGAGTTTGAGCCTTCGTTTTTTTTTTTCCTTTTTCTTCTTTTTTTTTTTTTTCCCCTAAGGACAAACATGTCCACAATAAACTTTTTATGACACTTTTATGATCAATTCGAAAATATTTGTTTCTTTTTATTGCTAAATAAACATTTCAATAGTAGCTATGTTTGTGGAATAATGTTTCTTAAAGGGCTTGTTCATCATCAAGAAAAAGAATTGAGATAACTTGTACTAAAAAGAAAAGTAATAATCGAGATGAAGTCGTTTCCGTTTTTATCCCTTTAAAGTTTCCTTGGAGAGTTTTGCTACATGAACGTAGGGGATGATCGAACACATACACATGACATGGAGGTCGGCATTTTTTTAATTCACGCGGGACCCACGCATAATGTGAGGATCAATCAGCTGGCATATCAGAATTTTCGAGTAAACCAACTTTATTCTTCCTTGGATGTATTATGAGGAAAAAAATAAGAAGAAGAAGGAGAGTTTATAAAAACTTCGTTCCTCAAGCATAATGGATTATTAAATAGATTGTAGTTTTCCAAAACATAGCGTAACTTGGAAATGACAAGAATTAAATTATTAACGTCCTAAAAATTTGTGGCCAAATCGGCCACAGCTAGTGAAGGAAATCTTCCGCCATTAAGTAGCATTATCGGTCGACTTTTGTAAATTTCCTAAATTAAAATCTTTAATGAATTTTAAAATATTATAGTCTAATAAATTCTTAGTTTTTAATACATTCTACAAAATTCATAAGAATCTTGTTAAAAAGGTGAAATTTTAAAAGGGGTTTTTATGTATATTTTTTAAGCTTGAAATCCATTTTAATCTCTTGAAATTTATTTATTAATAAATTCTTATAAAACCACGAATTATTTGGAACATCTATATTTTAATGGATTCCATGAAATATGTTAAAATTTTAATTGATTTTAATAAAATTCGTTAAAAACTCAATGGAAAACATCTGAATTTACAAGGACTTCTAAAATCAAATAAGGGTACATTTGATTGCAAACATGAAATTTGCATAAAGATAAAATAAGTTCTAGACAATTAAATTGCATAAAATTTATTTACATAGAAATCATTAATTAAATGTGTTTGATTTTCTTACTTTTTCAATTTAGAAAATATTGTACCTTTCTATCTTTTGGTGTTTGAAAGTCATTATTTTACATGAAAATAGTTATTTTTTTTTCCAACTTTTGTTGTTTGATCAGGGGCGAAATCAGAGATATTGTTCAATGCGGACATAAATTTAGGTATCAGCTACACTGACTTTTTGGGTCAATTTAGTTTATAAACAAAAAGAGTTAGTGCGGCCATTGACTATTGACCCTCAATAACCACAATAGCGAGACCATTTATTAACATTTTGATAGTTGTTGACACATGGAATTATAATCTTATTACTTGAAAAGCTCCATTAAAAAGATATAGGGAACAAATTCAGCAACCAATGGAGAGGGAATAAAAATAAAATTCAAATATGTAGCAAATTTAGCTTCACTTCTCCCTTTTTTTTATTGTTACAAAATGAAAAAAAAAAATACCTTACATAAAACTAATGAAAAACAAGCTAAAAGAGTATGAAACTATTAAACCCTACATATGTTGGGTATACACACACACACACACACGAGAGAGAGAGAGAGAGAGAGAGAGAGAGAGAGAGAGAGAGAGTGTGTGTGTGTGTGTTAAACGTAAATCGCATATTAAACTTTCATCAAGTTTAAATTTTCAAGATCAATTTATTATTTATCATAAATCACAGTCTACAGCTACATATTATCAAATATTCTCAAATTCACAAAATTCTCAATTTTCATAAATCATAAACGTGAACAATTGTAAAAGAATACGATAATATAAACCATTAAACCATGATCCAGAAGATTGGGCCAATTAATTTTATTGAAGTGGAAATTACACATATCCCTAGAATTAAAATCTAGGGTTCAAAAATCATAAAGGTAATTTAATATTTCAAAAATCAGATTTCACATGTTTAAATATTATTTATTTTCTCTCCAATCTCTTTCTCTCTCCAATCCCTTCTCTCTCCTCCCACCCTATTCTACTATTCTCTCTCACCCGTATACTATATCTTTAATTTCTTTCTCTCTCCAATCCCTTCTCTCTCCTCCCACCCTATTCTCTCCCTTTCACACTCGTATTTACTCTATTTTAATTTCTCTCTCTCTCTCTCTCTCTCCAACCTTTCTTCTCTCCTCCCACTCATATTCTCTCTCCACTCGTTCTCCCCACCCGTCTTCTCTCTCTCACTCTCCGTGGCTGCTCAAGAAAGGGAATTTCTACTCTGGCCTCCGACGATCGTTGCTGGTTGGCAACTGCGACGGTGCTAACCGAGATAGTGGTGAGATTGTGCTTTCCTTTGATAGCTGTGGTGGTCTGGCGATGGTGATGGCTGTGATGTTGAATTGTTGGTGATGTTGGATGAGTTCTAAACTTGGTTCTAGCATTGGGTTGGAGGAGGACGATGGTGGTTTATGTGTGGGATGATATGGGTGACACGATCTGGTGGTTGCAATGGTGAGGGATGGCCGGTGGTGTTGTGCTTGCTATGGCGTTTTTGTCCCGTGACGTTGTTGCTGTAGGATGGCGGTGATGGTTCTGGCGGCGATACTGTTGAAAGCAGAGGTTGTCACAAGTGTTGGTGTGGTCACATATTATTTGGTTGATTGTAACCAGTAAATTGGTTAATCTGTGACTAATAAAGACTGTTGAAAAAGATAAAGTGTGACCAATGTGACCTAAAAAATATTAATTTGTGACAGCCTAATGAGTTGTGACCTATAATATTTTTGATCCGTGATCAATAAATAAATTGTGACGTATTAATTTTCGATTAGTGACCGATGAACAAATTGTAACATATAAATGTTTTGAATTGTGACCATAAAATAACTTGTGATATTTAAAAATTATGATATGTGGTCGGAAAATAATATATGATTAATTAAATTATGAATCTGTGACCAAATGTATAGATATGTGACCTTAATGTATGACAAAATTGAATAAATTGGATACTAATTCAATCATTAAATCTGCAATTTTTTCCTCAACCGTCATAATAATTGTCTTCTGTTTTTGCATGAATAATTGTGTGGGTTAGCGATGTAAATATGTATTTTAAGGAGTTTGTTCAAGTATGGAAACTGGATGCTTGATCTTAGGGATTTAATTGCAACAAAATCCTCTCTCTCTATGTCTCTCTCTCAGTTTTGAAATTACAAACTTATAATCTTAAAAATGAAATATAGCATATTTAATCTATGGATTGTGAAATTTTCCCTTTATTAAAAAGAAGAGGCCTAAAAAAAAAGGCCCATAATTAAGAAAAGGCCCCATCCACTCTCTTTCATCTTCCAATCTTAGAAATTCTTCAACTGTTAGCTTCAAGTTTTATCAATGGCTACTTCCAACCTATAAATTCTTCTTCTTTTCTTCTTCTTCTTCTCTTCATAATCCAGTGCAGGCATGCAGAAATTTTCTGTGTCAACTCCAAAGTCCAGTGTGGGCATAGCTCTGTCCTTGTGTTTGAAAGTCATTATTTTTCATAAAAATTATTACTTTTTCCATAGAAATATTCACTTTTCCATGGAACTTGTACATTTTCTTTTCTTTCTTTTTTTTTTTTTTTTTCAAAATCCTTTCCAAACAAAGAGCAACCTGAGTGAGCGTACGATCTTAACATAACTTCTAGAAATTCCTCTCCAATTTCCTTTTCCTACCTTCTGCAATCCAAGAAATAGATCGTGCTCTTCATCTGTCTATGGAACTACTTAAAGAAATGCATAAATCAGTACACATGGTTCAAAACCAATTCAGCATATTGTGCCGAAGCTTCTAGAAATCTTGAATTCGAGCTCAATTTACTTACCAAACGAACACCAATCTATAAGGCTCCGCCTACAACTTCTATACTACAATTGTCACAAGTATTTACCCCACAAAGGAGACACTTAGTAGTGATTAAATACACCCACAAAGAAAGAAGATAATAGAGGTAGCAATGTTTGAACTCTCCAATGGCTGCCTCATATTTTCTCTCCACTGCAATTCACTCACCCACGCACACAACTGGAAGGAATGAAACATATAAAACCAATTTTAGGTCATCCAAATTGGGCCAAATCATTTCACTTAAACAAGCCTAACAAACCAAGTAATTGGGCCACCAATATATCACCATCCAACTCAATAACCTAAGCCATCCACGAGTGTCAAGTCACGAGCAACATTAACTTATTTAAGTTGCTTCAGTGGCCCCAAGTTGTTTTCGGGTCGAGCCATCACTAAGTTTTCGATATAACTTGTCCAACATCATTTTAACATCATTGTCCGAAATTTATTAAGTATCAAAATCCAACAAATTTCCACCTTGATACCAATCAACATGCAAGCAACTACAACACAAAGTTCATACTTGCATAATCAAGATTACCAATAAAATTGAAATCGTAGACCATACATCGTGTCTCAAACTTGAAATACATACCATGCTTACTCCATGCACTCACCAAGGTTAAAGTAAAAAATGCCCAAGTAGAAACAAGTAATCACGATAATCAATCAACAGCAAATGAACATGCTATGTAAATATAACATAGGATAACAAATAGATCTTTTCAAAATATATTCACAAAGAACAATAGACTAACACCAAATTAATGAAATAAATCACCAACACATATGCACTAAATGCATAAATGACCACATGAAAAGATTTCATTACACTTATCCTATCCCATTTTTGCGTTGTTTGCACCTCAAGAACATATATCTCTTCTCATCGCCCATCATACTCACTAGACTGGTCACTAAAAAAGGTCTAACCGACAAACTTCAATAGATCCCTAGTTCACAGAATAATCCTCTATTACTACCTCACTTCTCTCAACCTGAGTGGATAATGGTCTCTATGTAATTGAAGTGATAAAAATGTCACCATCACACTCCACCTGATCAGAGTCTTCACTGATAGAGGATTCCAAC